GTTATGTTAATATTTAATAATATTTAATGCAGGCAAAGAAAATAGATGAGTTAGATAAACTATGTAACCAATTACTTATGTTTCTGACAGAGTGTACAGATTTAGTAAATAAGAATAATAAAATCTGTATGTATAGTAATTACATATTGTATATTTGAAACTGTTCTAAAATCCTCAATTCACAGAAGGAGAACAAATAATTTTAACTTTTTCCTTTTTCAGTAACTAACAAAATATCAAATACAGTCCCATCTGACAATAAGTCAAAAAAAAAAGAGGATTGATTGCAACGTATATGAATTGATCCTTCAAAAATAAGTATGTTACACACACAGCATGCAATCATTTTCAAAATTCTGTTTCTAAGGAATATATACATTTCATCGATAATTATGGTGATGCTGTAATTGATGCTATTATATCACATGATGATCTTCATATAATCTATCCTACCAAAACAGGTTGTGAATTTTCATAGGCAGTCTTAAAGGGTATTTAATATATATGATAATTTATTTAATATTTAACATGTGTATATATAATCTAATTCAGTTCACATTTACTATAAGAATTATACTACTTTTAAGAAATATATGTATGTGTAATTAAAAAAAGTATTTGCCCTGCTTACATTTCTGTAATTAGTAACACACAAGACATAATTTTAACCAACACTGATGGATGGAAACAATACAATAAGAAGAGCATTAGAGAGATGGGTTATTACGTGTAACGCATGTAAATTCGCTATACATTATGTTGATAAAAAAGTTGGTAACGAAAAATCGGAAAATAAAATTAACGCTCTTATAAATGCTGATGGAACTAAAGCAATTTGTACTAACATAGGTGCTTGTGATGTGCGTACAGTGGACGTCGAGTTGGAAAGTATTTGAAAATTATATTTTACACATGTCTATGTATATTCTATGGTCGTGTACTGACCTGAGGAATCAACCTGTAAATTTTCTCTCATTTGTTGCTACACATCCTATCTACAAACGTCGGAAAGTATCACTTGGAAGAATCGCCGATCTGATTGGTTGTTGGGAATATATAATTTTACTATTGGCTGAAATGGTAATATCACAAATTCGATTGTGCGCGGACAACGGGCAGGCAGAGTCTTCACTTTTTTTTAGCAACAGTGATTAATATTACATAACGTAATATCGTACTACGTTAGGATTTAAAGACAGTAAACAGTGAAGCAGGGAGATTATTTTTCTCAATTTAATTCCATTTTTTGGATGATCTTAATAGTTAATATTTATTTTCAATAATCATTCAGTGACGAAATTTTCTAACCTAGCTACTATTATTTAAACGTAGGATATACATAGACATGTGTAAAATATAATTTTTAAATACCTTCCAACTTGACGTCCACTGTACGCACATCACTAAATTGTCATGTTTATTGACAAAGCGACTAAAGCAAATTGCTTCAGCTCCATCAGCATTTATAAGAGCGTTAATTTTATTTTCCGATTTGTCGTTACCAACTTTTTTATCAACATAATGTATAGCGAATTTACATGCGNACTGTGTTATTTGTGAATACCTATTACATTACATTCAGAAGTCTTTAACAAATCGTACTACAGAGGAAGAATTTTGGTAAAAATTATCAAAATAATTGGATATTAACTCTCATATGCCCATAAAAAATGTGAACATAATCATCATCCCTTTTAATTCAATCAAATATATTTTATTTGTAATTCTATAACTCACAGGCAGATATATGAAATTACTATAAAATGAGAGAGAAATAAAAAATGTGACTGTATATACAACAATAAATGGACCAATTTTCATTCGATGAGCATATGAGAGTTAAACAATTTTGATGATACAAGTTTATGTTAAAGTAAATAATTATTATTTATTATGTAGGAGACAGTGAAACGTATTGTAAAAGAAGTATGTAACAAATTACCAAAAGGTGTGAAAGATGAATGTTCACAATTTATAGATTCATATGGAGATGCTGTTATTGCTATATTAATTCAAGGAATCGATCCAGCCCATGTTAGTATATAAATTTTTATGCATGAATAATTATTTCAAGGACAGGAATTCTAGAAAATATTTTCAGGTATGTGAAATGTTACGTCTATGCCCCAGCAAAAGCTTTATGAAATTATGGGAAAGTGTTCCAGCAAAATATACACTTGAAGAAAAAAGGGTTAGTAATAAACCTAGTTGCCCGCTTTGTTTGCTGGCTATAACAAAAGTTTATAATGAAATTAAAAATAATAAGACTGAGGTTAGTTCTTAGCTGGAATTTTTGCTTTTCTTTTACTAATTTTATTCATTATGATATTGCTATGATAATATTTGATAATATTTAATGCAGGCAAAGATAAGAGAGGAGTTAGATAAACTATGTAACGCATTACCTATGTCTCTAACCAAAGAGTGTACAGATTTAGTGAAGGTCTACACTAAAGATCTTGTAGAAGTGATACTCGCAGACTTTACGCCAGAAGAAGCATGCGCTTATCTTCACCTGTGCGACTCTGATAAGAATTCATACAATAAAAATATTTTCGTTATGGATAAGAATGGCGAAATCTGTATGTATATTAATTACATATTGTATATTTAAAACTGTTCTAAAATCCTCAATCCAGTAGGAGAACAAATAATTTTAATTTTTTCCTTTTTCAGTAACTAACGAAATACCAGATACAGTCCCATCTGACAATGAGTGGAGTGGTAATGAAAAGAAGATTGTTTTATAGAGAAAAAGAGGATTGATTGCAACGTATATGAATTGATCCTTCACTATGTTTGTAAAAGAATTGTTGGCAATAGAACAGAAAACAAAATTAAGTGTGTTACGCGCACAGCATGCAATCATTTTCTAAATTCTGTTTCTAAGGAATGTATACATTTCGTCGATAAATATGGTGATGCTGTAATTGATGCTATTATATCAGATGATGATCCTTGTACAATCTGTCCTACCAAAACAGGTTGTGAATTTGCAGAGGCAGTCTCAGAGGGTATTTAGATGCATAATCTGTATATACACGTATATCTGTATATGTACATATAATCCAATTCAGTTCACATTTATTATAAGAATTGTACTACTTTTAAGAAATATATGTATGTATAATTAAAAAAAGTATTTGCCCTGCTTACATTTCTGTAATTAGTAACACACAAGACATAATTTTAACCAACACTGATGGATGGAAACAATACAATAAGGAGAGCATTACAGAAATGGATTATTATGTGTAACGCATGTAAATTCGCTATACATTATGTTGATAAAAAAGTTGGTAACGACAAATCGGAAAATAAAATTAACGCTCTTATAAATGCTGATGGAGCTGAAGCAATTTGCTTTAGTCGCTTTGTCAATAAACATGACAATTTAGTGATGTGCGTACAGTGGACGTCAAGTTGGAAGGTATTTAAAAATTATATTTTACACATGTCTATGTATATCCTACGTTTAAATAATAGTAGCTAGGTTAGAAAATTTCGTCACTGAATGATTATTGAAAATAAATATTAACTATTAAGATCATCCAAAAAATGGAATTAAATTGAGAAAAATAATCTCCCTGCTTCACTGTTTACTGTCTTTAAATCCTAACGTAGTACGATATTACGTTATGTAATATTAATCACTGTTGCTAAAAAAAAGTGAAGACTCTGCCTGCCCGTTGTCCGCGCACAATCGAATTTGTGATATTACCATTTCAGCCAATAGTAAAATTATATATTCCCAACAACCAATCAGATCGGCGATTCTTCCAAGTGATACTTTCCGACGTTTGTAGATAGGATGTGTAGCAACAAATGAGAGAAAATTTACAGGTTGATTCCTCAGGTCAGTACACGACCATAGAATATACATAGACATGTGTAAAATATAATTTTCAAATACTTTCCAACTCGACGTCCACTGTACGCACATCACAAGCACCTATGTTAGTACAAATTGCTTTAGTTCCATCAGCATTTATAAGAGCGTTAATTTTATTTTCCGATTTTTCGTTACCAACTTTTTTATCAACATAATGTATAGCGAATTTACATGCGTTACACGTAATAACCCATCTCTCTAATGCTCTTCTTATTGTATTGTTTCCATCCATCAGTGTTGGTTAAAATTATGTCTTGAGTGTTACTAATTACAGAAATGTAAGCAGGGCAAATACTTTTTTTAATTACACATACATATATTTCTTAAAAGTAGTATAATTCTTATANTTTTAACCAACACTGATGGATGGAAACAATACAATAAGAAGAGCATTAGAGAGATGGGTTATTACGTGTAACGCATGTAAATTCGCTATACATTATGTTGATAAAAAAGTTGGTAACGAAAAATCGGAAAATAAAATTAACGCTCTTATAAATGCTGATGGAACTAAAGCAATTTGTACTAACATAGGTGCTTGTGATGTGCGTACAGTGGACGTCGAGTTGGAAAGTATTTGAAAATTATATTTTACACATGTCTATGTATATTCTATGGTCGTGTACTGACCTGAGGAATCAACCTGTAAATTTTCTCTCATTTGTTGCTACACATCCTATCTACAAACGTCGGAAAGTATCACTTGGAAGAATCGCCGATCTGATTGGTTGTTGGGAATATATAATTTTACTATTGGCTGAAATGGTAATATCACAAATTCGATTGTGCGCGGACAACGGGCAGGCAGAGTCTTCACTTTTTTTTAGCAACAGTGATTAATATTACATAACGTAATATCGTACTACGTTAGGATTTAAAGACAGTAAACAGTGAAGCAGGGAGATTATTTTTCTCAATTTAATTCCATTTTTTGGATGATCTTAATAGTTAATATTTATTTTCAATAATCATTCAGTGACGAAATTTTCTAACCTAGCTACTATTATTTAAACGTAGGATATACATAGACATGTGTAAAATATAATTTTTAAATACCTTCCAACTTGACGTCCACTGTACGCACATCACTAAATTGTCATGTTTATTGACAAAGCGACTAAAGCAAATTGCTTCAGCTCCATCAGCATTTATAAGAGCGTTAATTTTATTTTCCGATTTGTCGTTACCAACTTTTTTATCAACATAATGTATAGCGAATTTACATGCGTTACACATAATAATCCATTTCTGTAATGCTCTCCTTATTGTATTGTTTCCATCCATCAGTGTTGGTTAAAATTATGTCTTGTGTGTTACTAATTACAGAAATGTAAGCAGGGCAAATACTTTTTTTAATTATACATACATATATTTCTTAAAAGTAGTACAATTCTTATAATAAATGTGAACTGAATTGGATTATATGTACATATACAGATATACGTGTATATACAGATTATGCATCTAAATACCCTCTGAGACTGCCTCTGCAAATTCACAACCTGTTTTGGTAGGACAGATTGTACAAGGATCATCATCTGATATAATAGCATCAATTACAGCATCACCATATTTATCGACGAAATGTATACATTCCTTAGAAACAGAATTTAGAAAATGATTGCATGCTGTGCGCGTAACACACTTAATTTTGTTTTCTGTTCTATTGCCAACAATTCTTTTACAAACATAGTGAAGGATCAATTCATATACGTTGCAATCAATCCTCTTTTTCTCTATAAAACAATCTTCTTTTCATTACCACTCCACTCATTGTCAGATGGGACTGTATCTGGTATTTCGTTAGTTACTGAAAAAGGAAAAAATTAAAATTATTTGTTCTCCTACTGGATTGAGGATTTTAGAACAGTTTTAAATATACAATATGTAATTAATATACATACAGATTTCGCCATTCTTATCCATAACGAAAATATTTTTATTGTATGAATTCTTATCAGAGTCGCACAGGTGAAGATAAGCGCATGCTTCTTCTGGCGTAAAGTCTGCGAGTATCACTTCTACAAGATCTTTAGTGTAGACCTTCACTAAATCTGTACACTCTTTGGTTAGAGACATAGGTAATGCGTTACATAGTTTATCTAACTCCTCTCTTATCTTTGCCTGCATTAAATATTATCAAATATTATCATAGCAATATCATAATGAATAAAATTAGTAAAAGAAAAGCAAAAATTCCAGCTAAGAACTAACCTCAGTCTTATTATTTTTAATTTCATTATAAACTTTTGTTATAGCCAGCAAACAAAGCGGGCAACTAGGTTTATTACTAACCCTTTTTTCTTCAAGTGTATATTTTGCTGGAACACTTTCCCATAATTTCATAAAGCTTTTGCTGGGGCATAGACGTAACATTTCACATACCTGAAAATATTTTCTAGAATTCCTGTCCTTGAAATAATTATTCATGCATAAAAATTTATATACTAACATGGGCTGGATCGATTCCTTGAATTAATATAGCAATAACAGCATCTCCATATGAATCTATAAATTGTGAACATTCATCTTTCACACCTTTTGGTAATTTGTTACATACTTCTTTTACAATACGTTTCACTGTCTCCTACATAATAAATAATAATTATTTACTTTAACATAAACTTGTATCATCAAAATTGTTTAACTCTCATATGCTCATCGAATGAAAATTGGTCCATTTATTGTTGTATATACAGTCACATTTTTTATTTCTCTCTCATTTTATAGTAATTTCATATATCTGCCTGTGAGTTATAGAATTACAAATAAAATATATTTGATTGAATTAAAAGGGATGATGATTATGTTCACATTTTTTATGGGCATATGAGAATTAATATCCAATTATTTTGGTAATTCTTACCTCTGTAGTACGATTTGATAAAGTCTCCTGAATGTAATGTAATATGTATTCACAAATAACACAGTATGATTTTCCATTAACTTTTACCGGACCCTCTGACAACGGAAACGGAAACATCCTGCCAATATCCAATTGCATTCCTTCAATTTCTGATTCGCTTAATGGTTTAGATTTCTCTTCTTTTTTAGATTTCACATTTTTGTTTGAATTTTGGAAAATCCGTAGTCCTATTTGTTCCACATTCTGTGGTAACAGAGGCCAAATTGGTTGACTCTATGTGATATTAAATTTTAAATGAATGCTATTTTGAATGTACTTCTTAACATTTTTATTATTCACATAAAGTATTGTTTACCTGTACTGCTTTTCCTGGAGCAGGACAAATTCCAGAAATTTCACATACACTATTACTATTAATACGTTTTGTGAGATATTCGTAAATTTCTGGGTAATATTCATCAACAATGGAAGTACACTACAGTACAAAATATATCATTAACATACAATTTCATAAATAAATACGGAGTGATAGTAAATATAAGAATACTTACTTCTTTTGCAAACGATTTTGTTTGTTGACATAATCCATCTAATACTTGATGGAATTCTGATTCTGTAGTATTAGCCACTAAAAGATCTCGTAAATGTTCTACAAGTTGTTCACACAATTTGCATGGTAAATCGTCGCTTAGATCAACCATGCCAACACTTGAGAGCGGCCTAATTTCAACTTTTGGACCCTAAAATGTATTATATACAATTAAGTTGTTTAGAAGTTTTTGTATCATAACATTATGCGTTTTAATCAAACTTACTCCATCAGAGTCTTCATGTTTATGAAACTGTGCAGTACATTGTCCAGATAAATGACAAATATTTTGGGCATTGAAATTTTCTTGTAAATGAGCATATATGGTATCAAAATAAGTTAAAATGGTTGCAGAACAAGCATCTGAAAAACTACTGAGTTCTGCACAGAAATTAAGAAATTTTTGTAACACTTGTTTGCGAGGCGAATTGTTTAATTTATATTCCATATGTGCTGCAACTGTGAGACATTTGGTGCAGTTATCAGGTTCAACTTCGTCTTTTTCTAGAGAATGAGATCTTATATCGGCGACCTAAATTGCAACAGATACAATATAAATAATACCGAAGCTTATATGTAAAGTGGTTGTTATGTGTTAATGCTTCAACAATAAGATAAAGGATTTCACAAAATATTCAATGATATATAAATAATAATAATTTTGATTTACTTTGCTTGTTGGTAAACTGTATTCTTCTAACAATTTATCGAAATGGGCGGAATTACAAAGACCAGCTACTGAACAGACGACAGATGGATTCATTTGTGATGCCAATGTTTCAACTAATTCAGGAATATAGTCATCAACAATTATTATGCACTCTTTCACAATTGGTTTAATATGAATCAGTTTGCAGCTCCCTTCAAACACAGCTTTTAGATCTTCTTGAGTTTGATTGCTTTCTAGTTGATCACGAGCCATTTGAACCATGTTCTTGCAGACGTTACAAACGTCATCATTATCTTCTGGTACTTCCATTTTATTCCATAACGTTTTTATGCAATAACCAACTGCACTATATTCTGCTGCATTTCTGTATTCACATGGAACAAAACATTTTAACATTATATTCATATATAATAATAACCATTACAGCTCATATACAAAATAATGTGTACCTATTTATTACGAGCATTGTTTATTATAATGTATTATCATCTAACATTTCATGAAACTTACTTAATATTTGCACACCAGTGCGAAGGACCCCATGTGGCTCCATCCTTACCTAGAAGATGAGTTGGTTGTCCTGCATTGATTATTACGTTGGCCGTACACACTGAAAAAGTATAAAATACAATAATTCATATATTCATATTCTGTAATATAATTTACATGTTCTTATTTTATATAAAAATAGTTTGATATCCATCATCAATCAATGTTAGTGTTAATATATGAGTTTATACAGTAGAACCTCCTATATTTAAATTAATAGAATAACAGAGATGTCTAAAAAAAAATTCATGGACATCAGAATGATTGCATTTCTAACATTAAAGAGTTGATTTATTTAAATAAAGATCATCAAGACTAATATGTTACTTACATATTTATAGGTTTAATATTAAAGGTAATATTAAAGGTACATAGAAATTTCAAATATATATCTATATATTTATAAATAACTAATAATCTATAGAATAAATCTTTTTCAGAAAGGATATATATGTGTGATTCTAACTAATGTCAAATTATGCTACAAGTAGTATTAACAATGCTTGTGTTGATCATAAGCTTTTCTGTAGTAATCATTCAGCGCTGACTCATCTTAAATCTGATTAAGTAGCCTTGTCCTTTCTGAGTTACAATAACGTATTCTTAGCTATGTAACAGGGAAGAATATTGTAGTATTAATTAATTAGTGAACAGTGTAAAATCTTACATTTGAAAGAAATAATCACACAATGTTATGGTTTCAAGGTACAATAATACTAACATACTGCGCGTGATTGATAAGATTTCAGTAAATGTGACGCACAAGACGTCATTCCAAATGTACAAAAATAAAACAATACATCAGCAATAAATTACAGAAAATTGTATAAAGAACTACGACAAAGGCACTAGACAAAGGGAGATTAATTTGAATGTTGAATACTCACCAACCAGAAATGCGCAAAGCGTGATCAATGTCTTCATTTTCGTAGCTTCGTTTCTGAAGTGATCTCAGAAATGTTTCTTTGTTGTTGAGTTACCAACAAAGACCTGCCAGTTGCTTACTGAAGGTCCGGTAAGATACTATTTGAACGGGTATCGACAAATCGTTAAACAGCGCTTGAGCAAAACACTACTCTCAAACGATTGTTCCGGATTGTTCGTAGCGGTAGCGTTTATACGTATTCTCCGATGGTGCAGTCTCTCTCTTGTTCTCTTTCTATTTTCTACGATGGCCAATAAGAGTCGAGACGGTTATCACGTGACAGGCAACCGTTCTTCCATGTGTGTGTATGCGATGTATGTGGATGATGTATGCAATGTATGTTGTATGATGTATGATGTATGTATGATGTACAGTGACTCCCATTAATATTCAGACACTTTTTAAAACGCAATAACTTTTTTAAAAGTAGAATGAACGATTTTAATTTTTTTAGATGGTAGAGGATCTAGTATACTAGACAATGACTAAACTACTTTGTTACAATTTTGCTATTAATTTGGAATGACAAAACAAAATAAAAGACTCTCGTTTTTTAACTTTTTTATATGAGCCGATAACGAAAATTTAAAAGATGCGATTTATAAATTTCGTTAAGTTATATGCATGCTGAAAATTTCATCGAAATCGGTTAACGCAAAGTCAAGTTACAAGCGTTAAATGATTGTAAAAACTGCAAATTTCTCACACTTATTGGTTGAAAGTATTAAAAATTAGGACAAAACTACGATTTCTGTGATCTCTAATTGTTCGCAGCTTGTACCAAGATCAACTGATTCCGGTTAAATTTTTAACATATGCATATAACTTACAAAGATCTACAAAGGCTCAGATAAAAAAGTTAAAAAACGAGAATTTTTTTTTAATTTTCTGTTGTCATTCTGAGCAATAGCAAAATTTGAAAAAAGCATTCTGGTTATGGTTTAGTAGATTGGTCGCTCTATCATTAAAAAAAATTCAAGTCGTTTAGTCCAGTTCTAAAAAAGTTATTGTATTTTGAAAAATGTCAGAATATTAACGGGAGTCACTCTGTATGTATGTATGTACATGGAAATTGATAGATGCATATCGCATTGTTCAAATATGATGCATCGTGTACTTTTCCCCTTAGTATAACTGCGATTATATAAGTTCCCTTTTTCTTATTGGAAGTGCAGAAATATATAAGTAGAAATTTTCGCTGCTAGAATTGCTTTTATGTACATATATACATCGGTGAAGTAGATTCTCTGCGGTGAAGTAGTCGAGGGAGTCATCTGTCGGCATTAACAGCGAAACAATACTATTTTTAATTATAAATTGATTTTTCGATTAGTTAAACGCATACTATTTTATCGGTCTTAGAGGAAAATTATTCCTGCAGTGTGAGAAAATGTATTATCGATGCATAATTAAACGTTGTAGAAACAAGACAACGACAGCTAAATGAATTTCTTATAAAGTAAAATTTGATGGATAGACTGCAGTAGTGTTTACACGAGGACATGGCATATGCAAACAAAAATACAATCTCTCATAATACAGTTTTTTTTATTGTTTTAGAGGGCTTAGTATAACTAGATAATGACTAAAATGCTTTTTTTCTTTAATTTTGCTGTTATTTGGAATGACAAAGAAAAAATAAAAAACTCTTGTTTTTAACTTTTTTATTTGAGCCTATAACAAAATTTAAAAACTGTCTTTCGTAGATCTCGGTAACTTATATGTATATTCAAAATTTTATCGCAATCGATTGACGTTGTTATGAGTTATAAGAAATTAAAGATGGCAAAAATCACTGTTTTGTCACGATTTTAACACATTAAAATCTCTATAACATGTATTTCTATAGCATTCATATTTAATATTTATATTTCTTACGTAAATAACCAAATAACTGTTTTATG